TTTGTCTTTTTACTTTCTGGGTGGTTTGATTTGCAATACAAAAGTATTTAATTTTCATGTAGTCCAATTTATCTCATTTTTTTTCTTTTGTCACTTGTGCTTTTGGTATCCTATATAAGAATTTATTGCCTAATCCAAGGTCATAAAGATTTACATCTTATGTTTTCTTCTAAGAGTTTTAGTTTTTGTACTATTAGGTCTAGGTCTCTTGTGTTTCTATATGACTTTTAAGATCAGCATGTAAATTTCTACAAGAAAAGCCAGCTGAAATTTTGTTAGGGATTGCACTGAATCTGTAGAACAATTGGGGGAGTATTGCCACCTTGGCAATATTAAGTCTTCAAATCTGTGAACAAGAAATGTCTTTCCATTTACTAAGATCTTTAATCTCTTTCAATGTTTTCAGTTTTCAGTGAACAAGTCTTGCACTTTGTTAAATTTGTTCCTAATTATTTTATTCTTTTTTTGTAAATGGAATTGTTTGTTGGAAAAGGAGGACTAGGGACCATGAGGGGAGGTCTGCCCAGTGAGGCTCCAGGCAAAATGTAAACATCTGTCTCCTTTGCCCTATAATCTCCCCTTTCTGCTGCTGTATCCAGGCCCTGGTGGCCTCAAGTATCTAGGTCCTAGGATATCTCTGAAGTCTCTGCCCTCCAGGCAGGGCCTCAAGCCCTGAGACTACTCTCACAATTGGTTCCCTGTTAGGTATCCCTTGTCTGCAAGCCTTACTAACTGACCAGATAGTATACACCTGCTTAAGCCATGTGTTCTTGTGTGCTAAGGCATCCCCAAGTTACCCTGTCCAAATTCCCTGACCGTGAGGAATGTCAAACCCCAAAGCTGTAAAAAAAGATGACTTGCTGGAGGCCAAGAAGGAGGTATTTATGGAGAGCAGGGTGCCCTTTTGTACTTTTCAAGTAATGCACATGGGCAAGTTTATTCGATGAAGCAAGTTCAGGGAATAAGGGCAGAAAGGTGATACCCGCACCCTCACAGTGCCCCTTGCAGCCCAGTCCACCCAGCAGCTTTGTTGAGAGCTAAGTCTCTGGAGATACTTTGTGATGGGGAAAATTTTTTTTTCTCTAGAGAGGCTTTCTGGCTCACACTTCTCCAGACCCCAAGGACGCTCCCAGACTCAAGGTGATGTCATTGGAGTGTTTTCAGATACTGAATTTAAGACTTGCTCTGACCTCGTGTGCTTTGTGTTCCCAACTAAACTCAAACTTTCCAAGACTTGAGTTTATTTACCTTTAATCAAAAATTCCCTTTCTTGGCTTCTTTCTAATTATACACGGGTCTCTAAGTCTTCTTGACCATCAGGTACCAGTTGATCAAAAGTGCCACACATTTAGGTGGGGCCAATGTGAGGGACATGTCCTTTGAAGTTCAAATAGGGTTGGAAATGAGTGCAATATTGCTTACATGGCATCAAATCTCACATGTTGGAAATGAACTATGTGACATTTAACAAACTCAAGCACATGGTAAGGCAGCTATTTTACTTATAGAGCCAAATACTCAGGAATAGGAGAGTGACTGCTAACTTGGGTCTGCTTCTCTGTTGACAGCAGAGTCAGATTGATGAAGAATCAGAATGCTATTTCCAACCCTTATGCTAGTAAGGGGCTATTTAAATGGTCCTAGAATGTTAGTAGGCAAGCCTACCCTCAAAGCTTGCTTCACTTTAGGGGGCAGCTCCCACTAAAGGCAAAGTTCTTCCCCCAACATGTGTGTGGCTGATAGAAGCTACTTGTACATGCACCGTGTTCTACTGCTCTCTGAAGACTGCTCCAAATGTTTTGGGTTTGGCCATTTTCATAGCCCTACCAGAGAAGGCAAATACCCAGCAAGTATTTTCCCATTTCTACCACCTTCAACCATAGCAGGTCTTAGAGCTCTCTTTTCCACCAAGTCAGGATGAGATCACAGAATCCTCAGGTCAGCACTCCTGGCAGCTTGGGGCAGTTTCCTGGAGTTGGTATATAAGATAATAGTAATTTCTAACTTTTTACTGAGAACTTATTATAGGTCGGACACTGGCTAAGTGCATGACATGCATGATCTCTTTTAATTCACATAGTAGTCTTGTTATGATACTATTGTTCTTATTTTACAAAGAAACCAAGGCCAAAGGAAAGTAAGTAAACCTTCTCAAGGTCAAATTGGCAGATCCTAGGCTGCAATTCTGGTCTTTCTGACTCCAGAGACTAACGTCTTAACCATTATGCTATGCCAATTTATTCATTTACTCAACAAGTATTAAATCAGCACAAGTTATGTGTTAGCACCATTCTAGGTCCTGGGGATACAGCAGTCAGAAGATCTTTACCCAGTGGAACAGGACACTGTGTGGGCCTCTGAAAGAATGCCCTGTGGGAACCAGTGACAAACAGTGGATGATACATCCATTTTCTAGCAAGATGAGGGATCTCAAAAATGTGAGGGCTCCACACTTGAACACAGGGAATGTGTGAAAAACTCAAACCACAGGGCAAAGGAGCAATGGTAGAGTTTGAGATGTACCCTAATGGGGCTCTGTGTGCTTAGTGCAGGCTATGGCCAGTGCTCCAATGCTTGCGCAATGCTCTATTGAGCTGTATAACTCTGTGAAAGTCAACCATCCTGGCCCCCCTAACCATAAGCTAACATTAAGTTTTTCAAGCATCTCATGTCTGCCTGTCTTTTTTGCCATTAGCAGCTGGATGTATAAAGCTCATGGCTCCCTGCAAGGACCCTTGGGGGTGGGTCACAGGTGGGACTGAGCTCACCCTTCCTATAGATACATTTCCCCCTTGTAAAGAGCAAAGGAGACAGATCAAAGGCCACCTGGACCCACTTGCTTGCTAGGGAGACCCGGGGGAGCTGGAAAGGAAAGGGGAGGAGGGGACTGGGGCAGGCTGGAGCCGTGCTGTGATTGATTGGCTTGTTTTGCTCCTGCACTTCTGTTTACCCAGCTGGGCCTGCTGCTGCCCAGAGTACCGGCATGTGCATGGCCACTCTGGCCAGTCTTTGGGGCAGTGTCAGAGAGAACTGTGCACTCAGCCAGCTCCTGGCAAAGCTGAGGCAGGGGAGTTTGTGTTTTATGTCTGCAACTTTTCTGCTCCACTGGGTCTTCTCCCACCTCCAGGAATACCCCAACACACACACCCAATCTCAGCCACAAAACCCCTCAGGTCTTTTTCCCCTTAGTGGAACCAGTGTCACTCGGGCATCTAAGACATCTGCCAATAGCTCCTAGCCTAAATCTTCTAGCATTTTAAAATTCTTGGCATCTCTATAATTAATTAATCCATTCAATGTAGACAAGAGCAGAGATCCTCAGGAGAGGGAAACAGACAGCTTAAGGAAGAGTTGCAATAACATGAATGAAGTCCCTGGTATTCTAGGTCAATCTTTCTGCTAATTGATAAAATTAAAACAAAACCTGGCATCTCAATAATGCTTTCTGCCTGGTTTAAATAGCAATAAGAGTCTTGGCAACCCCCAAAGTAGAATCATTTCAGAACTCAGTGTGTGTGGAGGTGGTGGGGGGATATGTGGGCAGGATTTGGGGACTCAAAGGGCCCTTCCAGGCACATGTGGCCAATGGTTTCTCAGTGTTTAGAGTCAGCTCTATTTTTCTTAAAAACCAACTCAACCCCAAACCAAACAGAAGCAAGTAGGAACTGGTAGCTAAGGGCCCCTGGGCTTTGAGTGGATAGGCACTAGAATGGTGGTTTGGAGTCAGACAAGCCTGCGTGGGAGTTTCAAATCCCAGCTCTGCTACTTATTAACTTTGACCTTGGATAAATAAATTGCTTCGTTTTTCTGAGTCTCAGTATAACCCTCTATAAAATGGGGATAACACCTAACTCACTGTATTGTTATGAAGATTGAATATGATAATATATGCCAAGTACTTAGCAACTGATCTGTGTGACCAATATACATAGGGGCTGTGATGATCAAATATGAGGACTGTGGAAAGTGGAGAATAGGGTGCCTGAGAGGTTCAACACTTTTGGTGTTCATTCCTAATGTGTATACAGTTCAAAAAGCATGTTCAGAAGGTGGAAACAGCCCACGTGTCCATTGATGGATGACTGGATAAACAAAATGTGGCACATACATGCAATAAAATACTATTCAGCTTTAAAAAGGAAAGAAATTCTGACACATGCTACAACACAGATGAACCTTGATTATGCTAAGTGAAATAAGCCAGTCACAAAAAGACAAACACTGTATGATTCCACTTACATGAAGTCCCTAGAGTAGTCAAATTCATAGAGACAGAAAGGAGAATGGTGGGTGGTTGCCAGGGGCTGGGAAAGGGAAGAATGGGGAGTTATTGTTTCAGTTTGGGAAGATGAGAAAGTTCTAGAGACGGATGGTAGTGCTGGTTGCACAACATTGTGAATGTATACTTTAAAATGGTTAAAATGATAAATGGTAAATGTTATGTGTATTTACAATTTTTTTTAAAGAGAAAGTTTGGGAATTGATGGGATTAGGGGGTGCATGTGTGAGAAAAGCCCAGGCAGACCAATGCCCTAGTGAAAATCTGGCTGGGGTTCTATTTTCTACTCTACTAAGAGAGGGCAGCCAATTTCCATATGGCAGTGGAGGGGGTAACGGCAAGGGGAGAGAGACAGAGAACAGAAGCAGGAGAGAGGAGGATGGCCTGGGACTGTCAGTATAAAACAAAATGTATCAAAGAATGGAAGTTTCTGAGCTCTGAAAATGCAGCAAAGAAGGAGAGTAGGCTCCATCGCTAGGTGAGCCCCAAAGCCCACTTGGGCCACAGCTGTGGCCAGGCCAGGAGACCACAGAAGGGGAGGAGGAGGTAATTTGGGCCGGCCTGAGGTAAAAATTGCAGAGATTCGCAAATGCAATCAGCTCTTTAACTCCCCACAACTTCCAAGGCAGAGTGGGTGTGCCCAGCCTCTCCTCTTCCTCCAATCCCACTCCTTCCAGGCTCCACAGGGCCCCTCAAGGCTGCCTTTCTCACTCTGTTCCAGCTGCTGATTTCCCTGGAGAGGAGGTCGTGGAGGCGGGGCTGCCAGTCCCCACATCTCTAGCAGACCAACCTCTTCACTGGACCAGCTGGACCCTGTACACGTGGACCCTCTCCGTGTAGACACACCTGAGTCCAGGACGACACGAGCTGCAGGGATCCCAGCCTAGGCACGGAGGTAATTAGGCACGTCTTCTCTGCTCCTGAAGTAATGTTTATTTGTCTTTCAAATCCTGCCAACCAAAATGGCTTAGGCTGTGATTTACCATCACACCATTATGTCATACTTCCTTACTGCTTTTATGACCAAGAAAGACTCCAGGCACAGTAGCCATATTATGTCCCAGCAAACTCCTGCCCAAATTAAGTCACCGTTTCTGGTCCCTGTCGCTGGTCAAAAATGACATCCAAGGGTAATTGCTGTTTTAGAGGCACATTTTAAAGTAAATGCAAAATATAATGAATGTACCTATTTTCTGACTGAAATTTGCATCTGTCTTTTTTACCCTCTCCTGGCAAACATGTTTTATGTTTATTTAAACAGCCCTTAATAAAAATGTACAGCTGCAAAGCAGCTTACTATTCAATGCTTTCTGGTTAAGAAAATTGCCCATAATCACGGTGGACTTTACTATTCGTAACAGAATATTATTTTTCCTTGGTGCATGGCTGCAGCCCAATGTATGAACATTGTAAATGCAATGTGAGGCATATCTTAGGTCACAAGCACTTCATTCATTCATTCATTCAGTCAGTCAGTCAGTCAATCAACAAAGCTTTTCGGTGGACTTACCATATGAGGTTTAGGGCCTTTTTGCAACAGAGGTGAAAGCATGTGCAGAGGCATGAGCATGACAGGTCACTGATATGACAAGAGTAGCCATTATCAATCACAGTTGATGTGTTATGATTGGCTGTAAAGTGTGACACAAGAAGTTTGTTACTGATAATAGTTAATGTACCAACGATACTGAATGATTTATTTCAGTTATAAGTTGGAGTGGATTCAAGTTTATCCTTATAGTAATAGCATCACTCTCACTTGCTTGCATTTCAGTATGTTTTAATAAGAGTTAGAGAAAAAGGTCCACTTCATAACTTGCATGCCAAGTATATTACCCAAGGACACTCGTGGGAGTATGTCATGCATGTGAACATCATCTGTCAGTTGTATCACAGTTTAGAATTGTTGGAGTGGCCCACAAGCTGTGTGTTACATGGGAGAGTGGAGAGAGATGAACCTGGGGAATTAGGATAGGTAGATGCAACTTTTCAGAGCTTGAATAGACACATTTTCAGTTAGATCATCCCCCAAATTTTACAGAGCTAATTGTCATTGATATCAAAGAGTTACTGCTTGTTTATCAGGTTGTAGTATTTCCCCAACTACAGCAATGTGATCTTAAAGTAGTGACCATCAACCCAAACTCGTAATTTCGGCCTGTCTTAGAGAACCCGTAGTTGTACTTCTCAGGATTGACTGCTTCTAGCCCTGGCTGCATTGCATGTTGAGCTCCTTAGAAATGAGAATGTGACCCAAGAGGCAGTTTCCAGGTTAGGTTTCATGGAGTGATTGTATGGGGAACCACATTTATCTGTCTTCGAAAACAGAAATTCTTAGTTATGCGTCAAACTAGAAAACAATTCTACTGGACAGCCAAATGGGGTGTGGGGAGCTACTGGGGCACAGAGAAGGGGTGCCTAAGTTGCCTTACATTTCCAATATAAAATGGATTTCTGGAATTAACCACAAGATATTAGAAGTGACACTTTACATGCAAATGGAACAAGCGATCTACTTGGTGTCCTAATTTGAAGGATACTAGAACTGTTTCCCTGCCTCTGAAAACACTGTCCCAATGCTGCTTCATTTTCTAATATTAGAAATTGTGATATGGTGACTTTTTATGTGCTTACAAGCTATGCATTGTTCTGTTTAACCACTTTTTTTTTCTTTTTCAAACGTATGCTTGGGTAAAAGAGGATAGTTTTTTTTAAAAAATAAGAAGCACATTCAAGAATGAGCTGGAAGCCTACTAGAATTGTTAAGGAGACAAATTGTGTGTGGATGCGACCTCAGTAATTAATCAGGGAACATCTAGCAGCCAAATATCTGATGGGAGGGAGGAGGCCCTCTCCTTTGAGAGAGGGAAAATGACTACTCCCTTCTGATTGAAAAAGCACCATCCCAGACCTTCTTGCTGCTGACATGCAGATGTACATCTGGCTGTAATCTCTCACTCCCTGCTAGCCTTTGCCAAACTGTGTGGAACAGAAATCCAGTTTCTCCCCCATGTAAAAAGACAGAGAGAAATTGAATAGTTAGATAGTTAAAATTCTGAGCACTGGCTAGGAGAAGGAACATGCCCAAAGCAATAAAAAGACTCTCACTTAAAAACCGTGGCTGAGGAAAGATTTGAGCAGTTTAAACAACTGGTGGAGTTGATTGGGGTGAAGGGAGTAGAAGTCTCAAAGTCATGGACAAGCCTTGATACTCTGCAGACAAGCTAAGAAATATTTAAATTGTGTTAAATCTACTCAAGGCTGATAAACAAGATAGAATAAAAGCTTGATAACATTTGAAGGGATTTATTTGCACTTAAGTGTCCATGTTTCTATAAATCTTGCTCTAAATTTTATTTTATGTGGTGGTATCTTAAATACAGTGTTATTTATAAAGAATGAAAGCATAATTGAGTGGGGAAATGTGTTCTGTTCCCTCTCTGAGCTGTCCAACCTAAGGGAAGCCTATCATTCTGTCAAATTGGTGGCAGCTTATCCAAATTACAGGACTAACACATAGTAGGAAAATAACGCCCTTTGAAGTTTTGCCTTGGAAACATGCACTTTATAAGTGACAACAAATACCACAGTGCCTCCATTTTGAATGAAATATTGCAGCTTTCTTTAAAAATGAAAATGCCTCTGGGAAGGTTAACATATAAAGTTACTAGTACCTTAGTATGGTGGTTTTCCAAACTAGATATTTAACACACTTTTTATTTATATTGAGAGCTTTTAAAACACAGGAAAGTGCAGAGAAGAATATAGCAAACACTTGTGTTCTCACCATGCTGAGTGGAAATACACTACTGTATTTACTTGCCTTCCATTCTTTCTAAATTAAAAAAAAAATCCTCAGGAAAAGTTGAAGCTCTCTTTATCTCCCACCTCCAGTCAATCTATTTTCATTAATGTAATATGTTTTCTTCTAGGCCATGAATAATATAGGCTATGGTTTTATATGTTCTTGAGATCAGTCCACTTCAGTGCATATTGAGCAAGTTCATTCTCACTGCTGAGCAATAACCTATAGTATAACCACGGCACATTTAATTTATTCGTTCCCCAATTGCTGGGTATTTAGGTTGTTTCCAAATTTTTATTATTAGAAACAAACAACTTGCAATGATCACTGGTGTACATCTGTCTTTGTACACTGGATGGGAATTTATCTAGGATATGTACCTTTTAGAAAGTAGGATTGCTGAGTTAAAGAGTATGCACACTTTTAGATTTTCTGGGTATTGGCGATTGCTCTCCAATGTGACTCTAGCAAATAACTCCCACCAGTGGTGTATGAGTTGCCATGACACCATACCATTGACAACTTTTGAGTTTTAATTTTTGCCAATCTGATGAATAGAAATGTATCTTGTTTTGTTATTTTTTTATTTCCCTGAAAGCTAGTGAAGTTAAACACCATTCCAGTTTCTTCTGCCAGTTGTCTATTGGAATTCTTTACCCATTTTTTTCTTTGGGTTGGTTGCCTTTTAAAAATTGACTTGTAGTATTTATTTTATGTCTTTTGGGTGCTGTTTCTTTTCAATTATATGGGTGGCAAATGTCTTCTCCCACTTTGTTTTATCTTTAACTTTATAATGTCATTTTTCCTTATAGACATAATGTTTAATACTGTCACATTTATCAGTCTTTTATATTAACCACTTCAGTACCAGCGTCGACTATAGTCGATAGCCACAGATGAATGCTCACAGCGACTTTAGCCGACAGCCGTGATATGACTTTTCTAATTTTTCATTTATCAAAATAAAATTGTGAACATTTAAAAATAACATAATGAAAATGTATATATATATGTTACCTATTCTGATTTACATTACAAGTAAAGCTGCCTGTAAAGTAAAACAAACTTTCAGTGCTTTCAAGCTTTCCTCATCACACAAGAGCAGAACGGATTCGTCGTCAATGCACAGCACACACTATCGTGCAGGCTATGAGTCCCCACTGTGGGCAAGGTTTTGCGGCCGGTGAGCACCATACCGAAGTGGTTAAAATTTGTGAGGTTTATTTTTGTGTGTGTGATTAATGAATTCTTCCCTATCTAAGACTGTAAAGGTATTCTATATTTGCATCAAAATGTTATAAAATTTTTCTTTGACTATTTGGATCTTTAATTCATTTTAAATTGATTTTTGTAAGGTTTGGAGAAGTTATCTAATTGTGTCTTTTCTCACATGGATAACTTCAATACCATTTATTAAATAATCTATATCATATCCTCCATGATTTGTAATAAATCTCTGTCCTATATCTAGTTCTCATAGATTTACATGAGTTATTTGTAGGCCCTTTTTATATTTCACTGATCTATTTGTTTATCCATCTGCCAATACTACATTGTTTTAATTGCTATAACGTTATAATAAGCCTTGACAATCTGCCCCTCATTAATCTTCTTCTAGATTGTCTTGCATATTCTTGGTGCCTTACTCTTCTAACTCTTACTCTTTGTGTAAATCAGCTATCAAAATCCATAAAAATTCTATTGTGATTTTGGTTGAATTTGCATAGAATTTATAGATCTATTTGAAGAGATTCACCATCTTTATGTTGAGTCTTCCCTACATGAACATAGTATATCTTTCCTTTTTGAGGTTACCTTTTTATAAACTTTTTATTTTGGTATACTTATATATTTTCAGGAAGATGCAAATATAGAACAAATAGGTCCCTGTACCACTCACCTATTTTCTCCCAGTGGTTTTATTTTACATAGAGTACAATATCAAAACCAGGAATTTGACTGATACAAGATGTGTTTGTGTGTGTGTGTATAATTCTATGCCATTGTATCACACATGTAGATTTGTGTAACTACTATTGCAGTCAAGGTACAGAATTATTCCATCACCAAAGATGTCCCTCATGCTATCT